TTAATTTACAAACTTGTAATCCTCATTAAATTGTGCTAATGACATTGAAGTGAGTGGGGTTTTAGCTTAACCATTTCTTGTTATTTTTGTTTTTCTGCAGAAGAAAGTGAAACACATTCCAGATATGAAGCCCACTGTAAAATTTTCTCACTCTTCTTCTTCTTCTCTCTCTCATTGTTTCTGGCTTATAATTACAATTTAAAAAACAATTAATTGAGATTTATTTTATAAATGACAGGCTTTGAGATTTTATTCCAGCTATAATGTGACAGTTCGTGACATCAGCATTCTAAACAGTCCACAGTGTCATCTGAAATTTGACAACTCCGGCGGGGTTAAAATTGACAATATCACCATTTCTTCGCCGGAGAACAGCCCCAACACCGACGGCATTCACCTGCAGAACACACAAGATGTCGAAATTCAACACTCCAACATTGGCTGTGGTAATATTTTATTCTTTTCAAATATGAACTATTTTACTAGTTTTTTTTTTCTTTTTACTGTTTTTTCTTTTTTATATATTTTTTATTTTGACAGGAGATGACTGTGTTTCCATTCAGACTGGTTGCTCCAACATTCACGTTCATCATATCAACTGTGGCCCTGGACATGGCATTAGGTAAATAAATCCTCATCAATGTTACTTTTTAGTAAAGGCAATTCCTGTAGAGAACATTCATTTATTGCAGTGATTAAGGACTAACCATTTTGTTCAACTTTTCTTGAACATGATTATATTCACCACTAGAGATGATTTTCTTGCCTATAATTACAGCTTGGGTGGACTTGGAAAAGATAAAAGTGTTGCATGTGTCTCCAATATTGTTGTCCAAAACATCTCAATTCAAAACGCTCTTTCAGGAGTGAGGATCAAAACCTGGCAGGTAAAAAGAAGAAGTTAAAACTACAGATTTACTCTAAATTTGGATGGTCATGTTTATTTAATTCTTAGACTCTACATCGCTATTCAATGTAATTTTAATGATGAAGCATGCCTCTATTGAATAAATGTTGACTCATTTGAAACAAGACGTGATAGGCACATAGCAGAAGAAAGTAAATAATTAAATAATTGGTAAAAATGGTGTAACATAGTCTATAAAAGAGATTTGATAGGTTGGTTCAAAAGGAGGGTATATATTATAGTGCACATATCTCTTTATTTTGTCAAATGGTCTACTTCTTTCTGTCATTTATTTGTCACGTCATGCCAAATCAATTAATGGTAATCATGTCATTTCATCATTTAGTTAACAATGTTAAACTAGCTAAAGTTATTATTCACAATTTAGAAATGTTAATGGAACTTAATAAACACAACCCAAAATTTAAGATCAAAGGTCGAAAAATTTAACAATTTAACCTTAAAAAACAAGCAATCTAATTCCCATCTAGCCAAGAAAAGAAAAACCAATACTTCTTTGTTGACTGTTTCTTGCCCACCACTAATTTTTTTACAAATGGGATAGAGAAGAATGGCTGTTTGTTTTCAAACAAATAAACACTTGTCAAATATGAACAGGGAGGAGCCGGATCAGTGAAGAATGTATCATTTTCCAATATCCAAGTTTCTGATGTGAAGGTTCCCATCATGATAGACCAATACTACTGCGACAAGTACAAATGCAAGAACCAAACAGGAGCAGTTGCAATTTCAGGTGTAACATACGATCAAATCATAGGGAGTTACACGGTTCAGCCCATTCACTTGGCCTGCAGCAACCAAATCCCATGCATAGACGTTGATCTCATTAATATCCAGCTGAGCCCATCTTCAGAATCCAGAGGATTTCAAAGCTCCATGTGCTGGAATTCTTATGGCAAATCTCAGGCCCCCCTGGTTCCTTCAAGTATGGATTACTGCTTGAGAAGGGGCGGTGGTGGCGCTGTTCGCAGGATTGCAAAGTCCCATGATCATGCCTGTTACTGAAACCCTCTCTGTTTCTGTTTTCTCTGTCTAGCTTCCCTTCTGCAGAAATTTTTGGAAAATGTAGGAAGGTGATGATTTGAAAAGCATTGTCGCTGTTTTGTTGGGTTTGGCGTTGACATATTGTAATCAGAAATTATATTGTGAATCCATCAGCATCTCATTTCCCAATTGATCCAAGCAAAGTGAAACTGAGGAGGCTATAAAACTAAAAGTGACCCGAAATTTTCTACCCATCAGCCAAAAATGTTCCTTTTTTGCTTTCCCAGAAAAGTTTGCGAAGTTGTAATAAGTTGAATTTGGGCCCTACTCTGTTCTATTCTCTTTGCCTCTGGAAAATTGGTTGGTGGAAAAGAAAGGGCAGAGAGAGAGAGAGATTCATGGCGGTGACAGTGGGGGAAAGCTTTTCAGGCGCGGCATGGCTTTTAATTTTACCTTAGTAATTAATGTAAAGATAATACAGGCTTTATGACGACTGTTCTTCAGCGGCTTATGTTTTTGCTCATAAACGTTGGCCTCCACTAACACTGCCCTTTCCTTTACACGCAATATGCTAGTGCTCTGCTCTCCCGTTTCTAACTGATTCTTCATTCTAGTACCTTCTCCTTGGGGAACAACAAAAATAATGCAGAATAAATTTACTCTCTTTTCCTTTATACTAAATTTCTTATTTCTTCTCTCTTTTCCATTTAGAATCTATTTAGTTCTATAAGAATTACCGTCGAGTCGATTAGAATTTGAAAATAGCTTGCAAAATAGTACAATATTGTTGACTTAAAGACTTAGGCTCACATTACTTTACTCTTGGTTCTATGAGTTTCACGAATCATGTCTCGTAGTGTTGTACTAATAGAGTTGTTTTTGTTTGTAAATTAAGAGTAAATTCAGAATGATTTTTGGATAGATATTAGATAGCAAGTGATTTTCATTTTTTTTTAATACAAGATTTTTGAAAGTTCTCAGAACTAAGGAGAAGCACTTAATTAATGTTATTTTTATCAAACTCATTCCGAACCCATCCTAGAACTTCCTTACTTCTAGCAATTGTAGCACACGTGATATTAGGAAATAGTCAATTCGAACACATTTCAGTGCTCCGTTTCCCTTCTAACCAGGGGAGAAGGCTCCCCATTCTTCTAATAAGTGATAACATATTTTCGGATAAAGTACAGATTACCATCCGAAATAGTTTTTTTTTTTTTTTTCCTTCTAATGATATAAATATTGTGAGACGATGCAGGGTGGGGTGGCCCTGGAGGAAACAAAGAAATGGGCCATATGGCAGAGGTAGGATAGTGGGCCTTAAGCCCAAAAAGAAAAAGAAGCAATTTAGACATGGGGAGGATCTGCAATTGCATGATCAGCAGCAGCAGTGGAGTTATGGGTTTTGCCTCTCTCAGTGCGACTGTTGTGAGCGAACTTAAGGCTGAGCAAATGGTGGCCTTTGGCCTTCTCCTCAGGGCTCCACTCGGACAAATAGTAATCCTCCTCGGAAGCAATCTTGGAGGAGGAGGGGCCGCACACCATGCCGCCCCACTGAGGGAAATAGATGAACAGAAGAGGGATTGTGCAGGCGATGATCATCACTCCCATCAGACTGATGCCTCTCTCTTTTGTGTAGCGAGACCCTCTGAAGAATATCAGCTGAGTCAACACAGACCCCACGTTTCCTCCCCCTCCCGTCATCCCAGATATCACCCCCAATGACCTGAATCAAACACGTATTATTGAGATATTCATAAATGAGTTAAATTTACTCAACTCATAAACTTAAATTTTTTGATTGAATGGTGATTTATTATTATTAACATAGTATGAGGTGTTTTTTTTTTTTATTAAATTTCTCCGTTGTTTTTGAAGACGAGTTCATATCTAGTTTAAATCTTATTTTGATTGTGGCTATTTTAATTTATAAACTTTTTTAAAATAATTATTTTGATCATCGTTGAATAAACACTCACTTGATGTTTATTTTATTTAATTCCTACATGTCAATGGAAAAAAATTGATGCTTACCTACTAAGTCATGATATTTATTCATTAAATTATCATTCGTGATAAATATTAAAATAGCTGTTTTTAAAAAAATTTGAAATTAAAATAAAATAAAGTTGAAAGTTAGACTCAATAGACAATTTTTAATGTTTGAATATAAAATTGCAAAAACGAAATAAAAAGTTAAAAGTTTATTCCTCCACTTGTATGGTAAATACATGTTAGAGTCCATGATAAAACTTATTCAGGATTGACATTAATTCGGATTGTTTTTTACTGCCCTAGGTAAGAATGAAGATTCCCAATTTTTTAATAAAAAAAAGTATCTTGACCACTTGGCCCATGTTCAATAATAACTTTAATTCTAACCCGTTAATCAATATTAAGATTGATTACTGATAAATATATATTACATCCTGAGGGGTAAAATTTTATTGTGATTAGATTTTTTTTTTTATAAATGTCACCTTTTAATTCTTTTATTTAACTTAATTACTTCCTAAAGAATCGGTATAATTTAATTGGTTAAGGAACAATTTAATCGGTTTAGTAAAAAATCAGAATCACACCTATAAAAAAAAAAAAGGCAGGGAGTGTGTACCTGCGAGAGACGAAAGGAACGACGCCAAAAGTAAGGCCACAGGCAGCTTGAACAAACACAGAGAAGACCATCATAACCGCAATCGAGACGCCCAAAGAACCAACCAACCCAAGAATCACGCACAAAACGCCCCCCAAAGTCTGCACCACCCACAGCGCCCACAGCCGCCCCCTCATCCCGTACCTCCTCGCCATCACGTCCGACAAAATCCCACCATACGGCCGAGAAAACAAATTCGCCAGCCCAAAACTCGCCGCCACAATCCCCGCCGTGTGCAGGTTCAGATGGAACCGATCATAGAAATAGTTCGCGATTATGTTATCAATCGTCAACTCCACCCCGAAGCAGTACCCGTAAGTTAAAGCCAAAATCCACCCTCTGTAATTCGTCGCTCCGTGGTAAATCACCTTCGAGAATTTGTCTTTCGCCTTGTCGCCGGATTTCTGCAAGCGCCGGAAGTTGCCGTTGGGGGTGTCCTCGCCGAGTATTAGCACCGCGAAGGCCGAGAGGGTCTGGAACAGAGCCGGGATGAAGAACGCGATTCTCCACGCGGTGAATTTGGTGGCACCCATGTGCTCGATGATTGCGAAGACGTACGGCATGATTAGCTGCGTCGCGCCGCCGCCCATGTTCCCCCAGCCGCCGGCGACGCCGTTGGCGGTGCCGACGACGGTGGCGGAGAACATGGAGCTCATCCAGAATTGGGTGGAGACGAATGTGGCGAGGGAGAAGCCGGTGAAGAACCGGGCGAGGAAGAACGAAGCAGGGGATGAGGCTATTGAGGTTAAATAAACCGCCGGGGAAGTGACGAGGATGAGGGTGGCGGAGGCAAGCCGCGGTCCGACCAAATCGCAGGCGGAGCCCATCATGATTCGGGCGAATACGGCGCCGGAGACGGAGGCGATTCCGGCGTTGCCAATGTCCGTGTCGGTGAGGTTAAGGTTGTCGCGGATCACCGGGAGGAGTGGCGCCGCCGCGAAACTGGAGATGAAGCACGCGCAGAAAGAAATCCACGAGAGATGGAATGCTCGCATGTGGGGCGCGGCGACGGAAAAGATATTGAACTTAGTGGATTTATTTTCAGAGTCCACCGGAAGAGAGAATTTTCTCGGCTGAGACTCCACTGCGCCGCCGTCGACCTCCATGTTCAAAGATTTTCTGCAGCGAAAATGGAGGTGGACTTTTGAATTTTTAATCAATGTAATTTGGAATTCGGAAACTGTTTAAAAGGAAACTTGAGGGTTGGCTTTTGTGAGATTGAAAGGGAAATTTTGGGGTTGGAAACAATGCACGCATCCGCTAAGTCGGCAGTCGTTTACTGACAATTTTTTAGACTCAATTTGGTTTCTTTCTCAAACAAAAACAAAGGCTTAGAGACATGGAGAAGATGATAGCGTATAAAAAGGATGAATACAAAATACTTGTCAGTTGTAAGACGAGTTTTTTATAGGCTAAATTACAAAAATCATTACCTGAATGTGGCACGATGGACGTTGTTTGAAAAATACTCTTTCAATACTATCCTTTAATATTTTACAAAATATTAATCGAAGTTTGTTCCAAATATATTTTTAAAAGGATCATAAATATGTGCCAATTAGTATGGAGTTAATAATAACATTTTTAAAAGTATACAAATATTTTCAATAATCTCTGTAATTTAGCCATATATATATATTAACATGGTCCATTGTACTAACTCGCATAAAAAGGTATTGAAAAAAATCATTTTTTTTCTTCCCTATACAAAAGTGTTTTATTTGTTTTCTTCTGTAATTGTACATTAATGTCATTTTGTTTTCATACTTTAATTTTAAATTATTAAAAAAATCTATTTACTTGCCGTAAATAAATTAGTAGGAGAAAGTAGGAAAAACCTGGACCAGTCGACCAAACTTGCCCACGGAGAGAGGAGGGTATTCAACTGAGTCGGTTGATTTCACCATTAAGATTCTACCTTTTTGGCGGTGAAAGGACTACTATGTCCTTTTGGTATGTGACAGATCAGATGGTAATGGACACAAAAGACAAGACGGGGATCTACCCGCACAGATTCTGACTTTTTCAATGTGAAAAGACAAGTAAGTCCTGCCATGTATGTTAATGGTCATGGGCATATATGGCAATACGGGGATATACTCTCAGATTCTGAGAAAGAAAATGTCTTGTTTTGTTATTATTATTTATTTGATGTGCTGTGAGTACAAAATAGTAAAATATATTGACAGACTCCAACCCAAGAAAATATGTCTACATACATAATCCGACTTTGAGACATGTAGATAATAAAAGCATTTTGTTTGAGGAGAATATTAATTTACGAATTTTATCATTACAGGCCTGTTTATAATAATGACTCTAATTTCTCATATCTCATATAAATTTATCTATAATTAAATTATAGGTTGTGGATACCGACTTTTATGTATATATTCTCTTACACCTATGGATCATTGGTATAAATGCTCAAACTCTCTCTATTGATACCTACTCACTTTTATAGGGAAGTAATTGTTCAAAGAGTTAAAATTTAAAAATTATTATTTATTATTTAGCAAAGATATGTTTTTTCTTCGAATTTTCAAGTTTTAAAATAGTCAACGATAAGTCATTTTATTGAGATTTGGTGTTTAAATCTCCCCGTCTCAAAATTGTGTTGCATTATAAATTTACAACTTAATACTTGTGTGTTTATTTTATTGAGGAGTGAGAGAGAAGAAAACCAATAACTTATATTTTGTTTTATTTTATTTTATAATAGATTCGATAAAAGCAATAATGATAGATATTTTATTTGTAGTCATAGAGTCCGGCCGAAGAATATTCAACCACGAAGGTGGGACCACTTCCGAGTATCCAAGAATATTCTGCACCACTTTTTAATATTATTTATTTATTTATTAATTACTGGAGAAAACTAAATAATCAATATGGCTGGCTTATATTCATTTTCAACTTTATGGAGCCATAGCGGGCCCTGTTGTCAGCCCCAAGGCCCCAAGTCAATGCTCCCCTCTTCTTATTAAATTACTTTCGGGACTGTTTTTAGATTCTACCCAATCAGGAATGACCACGTTGGGTTGTTATGAAACTAGTTGCCCTGGCATTCATATTTATTTATTATTTTTTTGGAAAAAGAAAGAAAGAAAATCAGCCATTGAAATTGGGTTGGTGGGTGGAAACTGGAAATAAAAATTTCTAGTACCGGGAGAACTTCCATACTACTTAACTCAAATTGTGTCATGTGTAAAAGAGTTTTGTTATTATTTAAATAAAAATATTTTTAGTTTTTATGTGAGATCCGCCGACAAAATTGATCCAGGATCTCACATTCTCTCTCTTAAATTAATCCTACATTCTTTCTCTTATTAAATATTTTAGATGTTGAATTCACTTACTTCTTTCTCTTCTATTTTTATTTTTTAAAATTTTCCCCATTCAAACTAAATTTCTTGTTTCTTTTTCTTAATGATTTCTACTTCACCATTTAAATTATGTATTACTTTTCTATTTAATTTTTATTTTTCTTGTTTATTATTATTATTATTATTTATTTAAAAATTGTGAATTAAAAAAATGTAAAGAATTAAACATAACATATGCAACCAAATATTTTTATGGATTCAATAAAAAATGAAAAAAATATATAAAAATGATTAGAATGTAATAGAAAAATAATAATAAAGAACAAGAAAAATAAATAAATGAATAGAAAAGTCATACATAATTTAAATAGTGAAGTCGAAATCGTTAAGAAAAAAAACAATAAATTTAGTTTTAATGGAGAAATATCCAAAAAATAGAAATAGAAGATGAGAGAAGTAAGTGAAGAGGTAAATAACAATAAAGGGATGAAGAAATTAGAAAAGTGAAAATAAATAATCACATCTAAAATATATAATTATATAATAAGAGAGAATGTAGGATTAATTTAAGAGAGAGAAAGTGAGATACTGATGGATCAATTTTGCCCGTGAGTCCCATATAAAAACTAAAAATATTTTTATTTAAATAATAATAGTACTCCTTTACACATGACATAATTTAAGTTGAAGTTCCCTACTAGGAGGACTAGAAATTTTCCCATATTTTACCCTTCTAAACCTAACGCTCACAAAATAAATATTTCGAGAACCGTAATGTATATTTCCAATAGAATGTACAAGGAATTATTTGATAGTTTTCACTTGGTTGTCATGATAAATTATTTAATATTAAATTTATCAGTTAAAGTTCAAAGGTATTAAATTTGTGTTGATATATCATTGATTTAAATTTGACATAAGTGATGGATCTTAATTTTTCATAATTTTACAAAAATTCATCAATAAAATATTTATAAGGTAGACACAGACCAAGACAATTTTCAACTTATTTAAAAAGGTGAAGTGATTATTTATTAATTTAAATATATTTTCTATAAATGTTTTATTTTATAATTTGTTCATAAATATCCATCTTTTCACCCATAAATCCCTCAGACATTGAGATTTAATTTAAAACTTTGGTCAGTTACAAAGTCAAAACACCTTATAAAGTTGGAAATTCCACCACTCCTTTTGCACTTATATAACTTTTTGCTTGAATAATTGCCTCTTTTTATATATTTCATTTATTTAATTTTTTTTCTCCTTTCACATTATTACTCTGGGGAATGAAATAACGGGAGTAAAAACACTCGTTTCAAAAAAAATATCGTCTACAATTTAATTATTAATGCTTAAATGAATAAAAATAATATTCGTACCACAAGTTTTTCTCATTTTTATTTTAGACTATTCTTGTTACGTAGTTGATGAAGAACACCCTGATTCGAAGTTGCAAGACGGATCTCAGCAGCATGGATAATGGGCTTCAGTAAGGTCCATATCCAGAGCCCACTTTCATTTAGTTGGACTTTGACTGCGCACCGGACAAATTCTCCCTAGAATCAAGGAGAGCCCGGCAAAACAGCCGGTTGTTAACTGGCAGTTAGTTACGGACAAGGCTATAAATATAATTGGCGAGAGCGCAGAAAAACCAGACCGGCGGCAACTTCAGAAGACCATCCCTCTGCCCGTTGCCCTTGATCCACACAGGCCAGTGGAGAAAAGGAAACCATATTTAAGAGATTATTAGATATGGGTGCAAAGAATTTGGTCTGTTTGTCACTGGTCTTGGTGGCAGTGGCCGTGGCCCAGGCCCACGCGGCGGACATCTGCGCGAAAGCAGACTACGCGGCGCTGTGCCGGTCCATGGTGAAGGGCGCCGGCAACAATCCGGTAGCGGCCACAAGGGCAGGCATTGAGAAGCTGATATTGGCAACGAAAATCGCGAGGGAAGCGAGGCTAAAATCGGCAAAATCGGGGGCTCTGGGGGTGTGCAAAGAGACGTTCGCTAACGCGATTAGCGAACTGAAGATGGGGCTGGATTATCTGCAGAAGAAGGACAAAGACAGCCTCAACATCGAACTCTCCGGAGCGATGACCGACTACACCACGTGCGACGACGCCATTGCCGAAAGCGGCGTCGTGGGGAAAGCTGTGGGCATTGTGAAAATCGATAGAACGCTGCTTAATATGGCTAGCAATTGCTTGTACTTGTCCACTTTGACTTAGGAACAAACGTGGGGATCAGCTATGGGTTTTGGGCGGACCGATGTGTACTGATTTGGCTTGCCGGTCGTAAAAATAAATATAACCAATTATTTTTTATGTTGCGCTTTTTAATTATTTTTAATTGCTTTTAATTATCCAGCTTCGAAAATTTAAGACGGCTTGTTTTTAAAATTATCTACGAAATCGTTTAAATACAAATGAAAAATATGTAATCTACTAAAATTCAATTCATGAGTTGGTCGTACTTTAATAACTAAGACGACAGTAATTAGATATAGATTTTAAAAAATTTAGATCATATTAAGATCAAGATATAGAAAGCAAATTGGAAATTTTAGGTAGATTATATCGGATTTTTTGTTGCCCTTTCATTTTCATTCTAACAATTTCTTAGATAATTTTAGGAATACATTTTCCTAAATTTTCGAAACTCGGTTTAGTTTAGACAATTTTCTATTTTGGTAATTAAAATATATTAATATTTAGATAATTTAAAAAATAAATATTCTTAATTTTTTAAAATTAGATTTAGTTAGATAATTTTTCTTTTTAATAATTAGATTTTATGGATATTGTATATAAAAAAACTCTCAACGTAACGAATATGATCTCCATAGGTAGTTATTTTGGATGATTTCGTGTCGGGATAATTAATAATTTAATATTTGAAAAAATAGTTTACACATAATTATATCTAAATAATTAGTTACTGTTTATAATATTAAAGAAAAGGTCCCATAACTTGGGGGTTCGATACCTCAACCAGTGGGCAGATCTAGCTGTGATTTGTCTCACAAAACTATTTAATGGGCTTAGAGTAAGCCCCGAGTTTGAATTTTGTTTGTGAAAAATTGTAGCATTTTAGAAAAAAAAATTATATGCATATATACATATAAAGTGATAATAATAATATATATTTAGGTCAGTAGATATATCCTACTTACCACCATTCAAAAATAAGAATGTAGCATTGACAAAAGTTATGAAAATAATTTTATCTAGAATGAAACTCTTCTAATATGGAAGATTATGCACGAGGATTAAATTTGTTATGTTGATTGGTAATTTATTCATTTTTAACAATAATATCAGTGTGAAAGAATTGAATTAATAGCATTATAGGTGGACAAAAATCATTATTGTTTTAAAAATTCTGAGTTATCGAATCTCTAATGTTCTCGAAAGCATAAATTTATTTTTTATTTACATAAATATTATGAATAAATAAAATTAATTATTTATACACATTTTTTATTTGATCAATTTTACAGCTAGGGCCGAGTTTTAAGTCAAAATATACCATTTACAAGCAAATTTCTAATTCTTTTTAGACTTTTAATTTCGTCAAACTTATATTTTATATTTTAATTATTGAATATTTTTCTATTAATATTTTTGTATAGATTTAATTTGAAATCATGGAGAAATATTATAAAAAAAACAATAAACGAGTCCTCGTCTAAAAAAGAAAAATACTAATTTTGATAGGTATGATATAGATGTTATTAATTTTACTTATTGCAATAGCTATTGGACATAACGTTTTGTGTTATCAATGATTACTGAATAAGCACATAAAGAATTTTGAAAAAGATCCCCTTGCATCATTGATACCACTAGCCAATCGATTTGATAATGATCCAAGTGATATTGGTTTTTTCGACCATAATTAAAGAATCCCTCGAACATGGTGCAAAATAGAAATTGCAAGTGTAGAATGGTGTCAAACATGATTGAAGCTTGTTTACCAACAACCATCTTCAATTATTTATTTATTTATTTTTAAGTAGCATTCTACCTTTCAACAAACCTTGCTTTCATTTCAAAGCTTATTTTAGTGATATTGTATTCTTCCTTAAATTTGGAGTGGCTCTTAACTAGTCGGGTTGCGGGCCACCAAACGTAACTTAATATGTATTAGGTTCCCTTAATAGAAATTCTAAATCCACCACCCTAAGTTAGTGTTACCAATGCAAAGAGAGTTAAAAGATATGAATATTGATTATTCTTAATAAAAGAAAAACCTGCAGCATGTATGTTAATACCATTTTTCAAAATCAATATAAACTTTTATTATTATTATTTTTTAACTAATTTTAGTAGTCCTCCAAATTTTTTATCTAACAAATCCCTAACGACAGTTAAAACTGATCACACATTAGTTACATATTCCATCTAGAATGAAGGAGAGCCTGGCAAAACAGCCCGTAGTTAAAGGGCGCAGTTAAAGAAAACGGTTACAAAGAAGGCTATAAAAACAATTCGGGGAGAGCGTAGAAAAACCAGACCGGCGTCAAGTTCAGAAAACCATTATTCCTCTGCCCGTTGCTCTTGATCCACACAGGCCCAGTGGAAAAAGGAAGCCATATTTAAGAGATTATTAGATATGGGTGCAAAGAATTTGGTCTGTTTGTCACTGGTCTTTCTGGCGGCGGCCATGGCCCAGACCCACGCGGCGGACATCTGCGCGAAAGCAGACCACGTGGCGCTGTGCCGGTCCATGGCGAAGGGCGTCGGCAACAATCCGGTGGCGGCCACAAGGGCAGGCATCGAGAAGCTGATAACGGCGACGAAACTGGCGAGGGAAGCGAGCATAAAATCGGGGAGGTCGGGGGCTCTGGGGGTGTGCAAAGAGACGTACGCCAACGCGATTAGCGAACTGAAGACGGGGCTGGATTATCTGCAGAAGAAGGACAAAGACAGCCTCAACATCGAACTCTCCGGGGCGATGACCGACTACACCACGTGCGACGATGCCATTGCCGAAAGCGGCGTCGTGGGAAAAGCTGTGGGCGTTTTGAAAAACGATAGAATGCTGCTTAGAATGGCTAGCACTTGCTTGTACTTGGCCACTTTGACTTAGTAACAAACGTGGGGATCACCTATGGGCTCTGGGTGGAGCGATGTGTACTCCTGATTGGCTTGCCGGTCATCAAATAATATAACTAATTATTTTTTAATCTTGCGCTTTTGAGTATTTTTAATTGCTTTTAATTATCTAGTTTAGAAAATTTATGACGAAATTATCTAAGAAATTATCCTTTGAATTAGAAAAGGGAAAAAAAATGAATCAACCTAAAATTCAATTGGTGATCATACTTTACTAAGATTATAGTAATTAGATAATATTAAGACCGAGAAGAGCAATCGGAAATTTTAGGTAGATTCCATCGTTTTTTTCTTTTCCTTTTTACCCTCCCATTTCCACTCAAACAATTTCTTAGATAATTTTAGGAATAAATTTTCCCAAATTTTAGAAACTTGGTTTGGTTTAGATGATTTTCTATTTTAATAATTAAATTTATTAATATTATATTTAGATAATTTTAAAATAAATATTCTTAAATTTTTTTAAATTAGATTTAGTTAGATAATTTTTGTTTTAAATAATTACATTTTATTCATATTTTATATATAAAAAAAACTCTCCACCTAACGAAATTGATCTCCATAGGTAGGTATAAAAAAAAAAAAACTCCATAGGTAGTTATGTGTGGATGATTTCGTGCCGGGATAATTAATAATTTAATATTTAAAAAAATAGCTTACAAATAATTATATATAGATAATTAGTTATTTTCTATAATATTAAAGAAGTACGTTGTTATTATTTTCGGAACATTGTGATCTTGAGGTAAATCTAGCTGTGATTTATTATCTCACAAATGTGTATTTAATAGCTTAGAGGTAAAGCGATAGTATACCATAGTCCTAAGTTAAAATCTTGTTGGTGAAAAATTGTTGTATTTTATAGTGTGTGTATATATATAAAGATAATTATATATTTTTTTTTTACCCATAGGCCCGCAATTAAGTAGATACACATCCTATTACTTACCACCGTTGAAAAACCTACCACGTACTCCATATATTTTTCTGCAAACGCACCAAGCAAATATGGAATGACCTTTTTCCCTATGTTCATCTCCCTTTCGACCTCAACTTGAGCTTCAGACATATGTTGGATTTTCTTTTGAATAACGAGTGTGGGAGAAATTGAATTGACAGCCACTATATGTTATGACCAAAATCATTATTGTTTTAAAAGTTATGAGATTAAACTTTGACATTTTTAAACATTTATGAACTAAAATTAACTAATTCTTCAAAAAATAATTGTGTATACCGTGATGAAATTCGATAAATGAGATTTCGAGTAAACCTTATCTTCTTCTATATAAAGAGATGATCTCGAGACTTGCCTTCATACAGAAGAATATGATATTGAAGCACAAGAATTAGAGTTATGTAGTTGATCTTTTTCTTTCCTCTTAGAAGTTTAACAATGCATGTGGACCGCACTCAATGTATTTTGCTGGTTTTGTAGAGGGTGAGATTCAATCTCTTATATCTTTATCTTCCCATTTTATTGTAAAAAGAAAAAGAAGAAAACTTTAACGATTAAAATGTCCAAAGTTAGAAATGATAATTTAACCTAACAAAGTACATTGTCTAGAATCAAGGAGAGCCTCACAAAACAGCCGGTCGTTAACGGGCAGTTTAAAGAAAAACGGATACAGTGAAGCTATAAATACAGTTGGCCGATAGCGTACAAAATGAAAAACCAGAAGCGGCGGCAACTTCACAAACCATCCCTCTGCCCACTGCCCACTGTCCCTCTGCCTTTTATCGCAGACCAACCCCATTCATTACATATGGGTGAAAAGAATTTGGTTTGCTTGTCACTGGTCCTTCTCGCGGCGGTCGTGGCCCTCTTGGCCGGCTACGCCAACGCCCACACCCACGGGTTCAACATCTGCCGGAAAGCAAAAGACGTGGCCTTCTGCCGGTACATGGCGAAGGGCGCCACCGACCCGGAAGCGGCCACAAAGGCAGCCATTGAAAAGCTGATCTTCGAAACCAAACGCGCCATACAAACGAGAGTCAAATTGGGCAAATCCCGGAGTCTGGACACGTGCAAACAGAACTACGGTGTGGTCATTTCGGAGCTGCAGCAAAGCCTGGGGTTTCTGAAGAGCAAGGACAAACGCAGCCTGAACACGCGCCTGTCCGCGGTTGTGCCCAGATTTGTGGGGTGCGACGAGTCCATCGGCAAAGCCGGCATCGTGTCGTTTGCTGCGGACCTTGTGGAAGCCGATAGCATGCTAATTAAAATGGCTACCAATTGCTTGTACTTGGCCAAGTTGATTTAGGAACAAACGTGGGGAGCTTTGGGCGGGGCGATGTGTAGTCTTGGACTGTCTCGACTTGTCGTTCGTAAAATTAAAAAAACGACAAAGTAGAGAAGTCACTCGGTTATTATTTTCAAAACGTCGTCACGGTCTGAGACCGTGACTGCGTGTGCGTCCGGTTCGGTTTATATATATATTATCTCTCTCTTTTTTTATTATTTATTTCTAACTAATTATATATACATTAAATTAAAAAGCGTGTTAATATTATTTTAATTAGAATAATAATAAATATTTTAATTTAGTTTATTACTATTTTATTTACAATACAAATGTTTTATTATAACAAATTATTTAATATTAACAAACAATTAAAATAAAATTATATCGACTAAAAAATAAATATATTTTTATTAAAACAATCCTGATTAATTTAAATTATTGATAAATTTTATTGTTATAATATTTGATAATAATGAATTTTATTGATATTAATTACTAATGACAAAGTAAATTTAAATAATTGATAAATTAAATAGAATTTTATAATATTTCATAATACAATCACATCAACTTAGCCATATAATTTTGTATTACACGAAAAATTAAAAATTATTCCTAGTAAATTGTAAAATAATAATTAATAAAAAAGTTATGAGTTTTAATAATACTAATAGATGAGATAAGAGAAAGTTAAATGTTGTAAAGTAATTATTAAAAATGTCTAGCGTACACGTGTTAAGGAATGAGAACATAATTGATGAGGTTGTAGGAGAATAATGAGGGATTGAATGAAAATTTTCACTCTCATTTCATTTCATTGATTCCCTATCTAATTAATGAGGTTATAGACATTTTAAAAATCATTGTCTAATTTTAGATATTTTTTAAAAGATTATGGACCTCTTAAATATAAAATTGAAAATTTAAGATTTTGTTAGAAAGAATTTTAAGCTCAGAAGCTGATTATTGTAAAAGTTTAAGGATGGAACTTATTTAACCCCACCTTCGGGTGTTAGCGCAGTGGCAAGAGGCCTGAGAGGCTACACTCAAGATAAAATGTATGTTTTAAAAATGGACAACCAAAATTTAAAAAGAGGGAAGCAAATGGCCAGTTTAGTAAAACGTTTACGTTTCTTGTTTTATCGTTTGTAATTTTATTAAGAAATCTAAATATTTAACAACTACACAGATTTCTTATTCCTCATTTTCTAGAAACATTCTGTATAAAAATTTTAAAACAATAAAAATAAGTTTATTGTTTATTGTTCTATATTTCTCGATTTATTCCAAAACATCAATAAGACTATAATTTTATCACACATCAATAAGATTAGAATTTTATCATTATTGAATCCATGAATATGGGTGCCAGGTAATTCTATCTTTCTTTATTAAGAATAAAATAATAATAAAACAAGTTAAAAATGATAGTTAAACCTAACAAAGTCTACATTATTTCTAGAATCAAGGAGAGCCTCACAAAACAGCCCGTTGTTAATGGGCAGTTAAAAGAAAAACGGTTACACACGGTCAAGCGATAAACATAGCACGCCGAGAGCACTGCCCGCTGTCCCTTTGCAAAAACCGGAACCGGCGCTAACTTCACAAAACCATCCCTTTGCCCACGGCCCGCTGTCCCGCTGGCGCTTTGCCCCTTATCGCAGACAGGCGTCGCGACAAAGAAGCACGAAAAACTAAGCAGACGACCTACCTGATAGTCATGTTTGTTTTGCAGGTATTTCTGGTGGCCTTCATGGCTGGTCACGCCCACGTCTCCAACATCTGCGGGAAAGCAGACGACGTGCCCCTGTGCCGGTCCATGGTGAAGGGCGCCACAGATCCGGTAGCCGCCACAAAGGCATCCATTGACCAGCTGATCACCGAGACCAAACGCGCCAAAGAAGCGAGCGTCCAATTGGGGAAATCCTCGTTTATGGGCGCATGCACGCAGAACTTTGGTGACAACATTTTGAACCTGCAGGAAGGGCTGCAAGCTCTGAAGAGCAGGGACAAAGGCACCCTAATGTCCAGCCTTTCCGCAGTTGTGTCGTTATACAGCGGGTGCGACGACGCCATTGGCGAAGGCGGCATCGTCACGCAAGCTGCAGGCATTGTGTCAATCAATAGCCAGCTAATACATATGGCTAGCAATTGCTTGTACTTGGCCGACTTGACTTAAGAACAAGCGTGGGGAGCTTTGGGCGGAGCAATGTGTGGTCTTAGACTAACTCCACTCCACGTCCATGAAATTATTTAAATACAACTATTACTTATTAGACGATGATCGAAAAATTGACAAAAATATCAATAGATTATGAGTTCGAGAGTAATAACTCCATGGTTTTGTTGGCGATAGAGTGCGTCTTTTTAGTTCAATTTTACCTAATTTATTGTATCTATTCTTAGTGTATCTTTTCAATATACCACATATTCATATTGTTTCAAGAAGAATATTTTGTCTCTGTTACAATTTTTTTTTCTTCATATTATTCTACTTGAAATAAACAAAACTCGATATTTTTCAGAATCCAAAGGTACATACCCTAGAAAGTTGAACCTTCCTTTTTAAAAAGATTGTCTTCTTATTTATCTTTTTTCCTCTCTTTTGAACTAAATCATCATCTGGTTCTAAATAGTTTAACTAAATTGAGAGATTGAAAATAACTAAATTAGTCATTTACAGTAGATGAATATTGAAATAATTTAAACTGGGAGATATTGATTATTTTAATTATTTCAATATAGGTCATGATTAAAAATAGATACAACAAATTTGGAAATATATATATAGTAAATTTAAATAAAAAATTACAGTAAATTTAGATAAAAAGATACCTAAATTTATGACAAAGTCAAAGGTATAAAAGAGGTATTTGTAGTTTTGTGAAATGGAAATAAGAAAAAAAAATTTTAAAAAGAGAGAAAAAATGGAGATGAGGCATCGTAGAATATAGAAAAATGGGATAAATGAGACGCTGTAGAGGGGAGGGAGAAAAAAAAAAAGAGAGAGGTGAGACGTTACGAGGAGGGAGAGAAAAAGAGGAGAATAAAAAATAGAAGGTATTGATGAGTTATGTATTGAACTTTAATAAATCCAACTATAGGGAGTGAAGTTTTCTCACATAGTAATACATTTTTATTGTAAGAGAAATTATCAGTAGTATAATAAAAAAGAAATAACAAAAATGTAAAATAATTAATTAAGAAGTTATGAGTCTCACTCTAGAGTAAAAAGATCAAAGTTGTAAACTATATATATTGTAAAGTTGGTGTATGACCACAGAATTAAAAATAGGAATAAAATTGATAAGATTAATTATAGGAGAGACGTTCAATTATACATTTTAGAGGAATGACTCCCATTAATTAGATTCCATTTCTACAAACATCATTGATGAAAATTTTGATTCTAATTTCCATTCATTTTTAAATAACGGACAAGATGTCCTTTTGCAACATTAGTTTTTTATATTCTCATGTTGAGTTGAGGTCATCTTTCATCCGACAATTTTAACCTTTGTCATTTTTATTCATATAATCCTTTTTTTATCAATTTTCTTTATTTGATGTTTATTTTAAAAATAAGCATGTGATCGATTCATTAATAAATGGTTAAATACAATTATATTTATATGCTACATTTAGACATAAAATATTGGGAGATGAAATCCAAACTCATAACTAAACCGGTGTGAATTACCACGCTAAACTAAGATTTAATTTATTTTCAATTCTTAATTTATTTTATTTTAAAACTTTTTTTAGAAGAAGAAATTTAAAAGGGAGGAAAATAAAAAGTAAAACCTAACATAGTCTACATTCTCTCTAGAATCAAGGAGGGCTTCGCAGAACAGCCCGTTATTAATGGGCAGTTAAAGAGTACGGTTACAGTGAAGCTATAAACACAATTCCTCCGAGAGCGTACAGTAACCAGAACCGGCGCCAACTTCAACCATTCCTCACCCCACTGCCCACTGCCTCTTTGCGAGAAACTAGGTAAAAAAACAAGGCCATTCACAGTTCACACGTACGTTATTGGATATGGGTGAAAAGAATCTGGTTTGTTTGTCACTGGTCTTTCTCGCGGCGGCCGTGGCTGTCTTGGCCGGCCACGCCCACGGCGCCGACATCTGCGCGAAAGCAGATTACGTGCCCCTCTGCCGGTCCATGGCGAAGGGCGCCGCCAATAATCCGGCAGTCGCCTTAAAGGTAGCCATGGAAAAGATGATCGTCGAAACCAAACGCGCCAAAGCAGCGAGCGCCAAAATAGGCAAATCCCCGGCACTGTTGCTGTGCGCGGAGAACTATGGCTACAACATTTCGTACCTGCAGGAATGCCTGATGCTTCTGAAGATCAAGGACAAAAACACGCTGATGATCCGGCTGTCCGCGGTTGTGGCGACATACGGCGTGTGCGACGACGCCATCGGCGAGAGCGGCATCGTCACGCAAGCTGCGAGCTTGGTGTCAATCGATAAAAGGCTGACGCAAATGACTAGCAATTGCTTGCACTTCACCAGCTTGACTTAGGAGCAAAAGTGGGGAGCTTTGGGCGGAGCGATGTGTAGTCTTGGAATGACTCGACTTGTCGTCCATGACTTAATTAATTAAAATAAAAAAGGCGTCCGGTTCGGTTTTTTGTTCTTATATATTCTCACGTGGCCACTCGCCCGAATTTCATAAGATGACATAAAAAATTATTAATTTTACTCTTCGGACCAAATATCACTGTCGAAAAATTAACAACAAGATCCATACTCCTTATCATTGGGTTGTGAAAAACTGACCCTTATCATTGAGTTGTGAAAAAAATTATCTAATGGCCAAGTAAACACTCGCAGCTATTTGGTCATCACAACCATCGAGTAAAGAGAGTCAATGTTCAAACCTAGGTTGTCTTCACCGACATTAAATATTTCTCAACTAATTAAAAGAGAGAAATACAAAAGTATATAACTTTTGCTTTAAATAATGAGAACGGTTTAGTTTATAACTTAATCTAGTATATATAAAAGGGGAGGAGAAACTTTTTCTCCCTATTTTTAAACTCTCCATAATATAAAGAGTTAAATATTTCTAGGTTAAAAAGTTATAACTTATTTTGAATTATAATTAATAAGAAATTTCAAAAGTTTTGTAACTTTTTATTTTCTACAATATATAAAGATTTTTTTCTTTACTCTTTCCCTGATTAGATCGAATCACCTTGGAAGGATAATCACGAGGACTCTCTCAATGACCTCATCCGAACTCGAACATGGCAAAGAACGACTGCATTTATTTACTTTTATGTATTGTTATGTTTAGGGAAAAAAAAGATGAAAAATCCATGAATATGTGTTTTTTTTAGAATTTTAGTCACACTAACCGCAATGATGAGAATTATTGAGACGTTTTTATGAGATAAACATTGAAAATATGAAAAAACTTGAGGTAAACATGTAGAGATAAAAAAAAACCAAATTAGATTATAAATTTTAACTATTTAATTAAATTTTATATTTTGAAACATTGAAATAAAAACTATGAAATTTCATGTGTTGTTACTTTTTAAATTGAGTTATTTATATTATATTTACGAACAAATAGGGTCTCACATAATCTTTAATCCGATAAAAGTAAATTAAATTATACGAATTATTTAAATGTCAAGATGAAAATTATGCCTTAATCATACACAAATATCTTTCGATTTTAAATCTATTAAAATTAAAAATAACCATTTTAATCTTTAGATTTTAAAAGATCTCAAAATTACGTGACCACTTTGGTCGAAAATTAGTGTCTTGATCAAAATTTATTAAACTATATTCATGATGACATGAGATTATAAACTAGACATTTTAAACCAAAATTGAATAGAATAAACTTAAATTAAAAATCTACGACCAACATTTAACAAGGGAGAGAAAAAAAAATCCAAAATTAGGAAGGATAGTTATACCTGACAAACTAGAAATTATTTTCGAAGTTAATTATTAGTTGGTAGGAATTAAAATAAAATTTAAAATTATTTATCTTACGTCCAATAAAATTCTATGGGCAGGCATGAGATGCTAAAATAAAAATAGAAAACCAATTCCAATCTCATTTAAAATTTTGAAATAAATTGGAGATAATAAATATTTAAATTTTAAGAGTGAGTATTCTCTTTATGAATTTTTGTTAAAATTGTATAAATACATAAAAATTTTCACCCAAATTAATTTTACAAAAATTCCAAAAAAAAAAGATAAAAGTCAAATTTGAAAATTAGTAGTGTTTTTTTTTTTGGTAATTTTCTTAAATTTTATAAATACATCAAAATTATATACAAATAAAAATATTAATTTCCAAATTTCAAAAAAAAAAAAAGGAGTAGTGACTTCATAAATACATGAAATTTTGGTTTTAAATTGAATTACAATAATTCAAAACAATTTTCACAAAACAATTAAAAAAAACACAAACAAAATTTAACCAAATAAAAATGAGATCGAAGGAGAGCCCGCAAAACAGCCCGTCGTTAATGGGCAGTAATAGAAAACTGTTACAGACAAGGCCTATAAATAACATAATTCCCCGAGAGCGTACAATAACCAGAACCGGGACCACCATCCCTCCGCCCACTGTCCACGCCCTTTTGATTTTTATCGCAGACACGCCTCGAGAAAGAAGGTGGAAAAACGAACCCATATTTCTTTCACAACTTATTAAATATGGGTGAAAAAAATTTGGTTTGTTTTTCGCTCGTCTTTCTCGCGGCGGCCGTGGCCCTCTTGGCCGGCCACGCCCACGGCTCCGACATCTGCGTTAATGCAAACGACGTCCCGCAGTGCCGGGCCATCGTGAAGGGCGCCACCGATCCGGTGGCCGCCTTAAGGGCTGCCATTGAACAGCTGATCTTCGAAACCAAACGCGCCAATGAAGCGAGCGTGGCATTAGCCGCCAATCCCGGGCCGCTGGACGTGTGCAAACAGAACTTCGATAACGCCATTCGCGACCTGCAGCGAAGCCTGGAGTCTCTGAAGATCCAGGACAAAGACAGCCTGGAGAGCCACCTGTCCGCGGCTCTGAGCGACTACGTCCGATGCGACGGCGCCGTCATCGAAGGGGATATGATGGTGCAAAGTGTGGGCATTTTTAAAACTGATAACGTGCTCCTTAACATGGCATCCAATGTTATCTACTTGGCCTCTCTGCCTTGGTTGCCCCACTAAGGGAAGGGAACAAACGTGGGGAGCTTTGGGCGGAGCGATGCGTAGTCTCGGACTGACTCGACTTGTCGTTCATAAATTAATTTCAAAAAAAGGCGACAAATAAGTCATTCAGTTGTTATTATCAAAACGTCGTGACGGTCTGGGACTATGAGCGCGTCCGGTTCGGTTCTTATTCCTATTTTCCACATTGACGAAATTATGTAAATCAAATACCAAATTATTTATTTTAACTTACGGATTTCTTCTTTTGATATGTAGATTTAGTTGCTTTCTTTTTTTAATCGAGAAAAAAAAATTACATAATATGAATGATTTAAACAAAGATGAAAATTACGCTTTAATCATTGGGCCTAATAATTAATTATTAGTTTTCGGCTTAGTTAATATTTTGTTTATCTAATTTATATTTTTTGAGCTATATGTTTTCTAACTACTTTTTTTAGACTATTTTTTATATTAAATATAAAATAAACCACCAATAAATCCAAAAGTTTAATTTAGTTATTTATATTGGATATCTTAAACACTCCTCCTCACATGTGAGAATGAATGAATAGTTGATGATTTAAAATAAAGTTTAATCATTTATAATAGATATCTCTGACAATATTTTTGTTAATATATTACCATTAAAAAGTTAAAAATTGTCCTGAATATAGGGGTTATTAATGCCAAATTTAGTATCTACAAGAATGAAATCTATGACTTATAGCATGAAGGTTAGGAACCATATTATGGTGAAGATATTGGATTTTAATTTTGGTAGGAGGAAAATTTTGGTTGGGTAAATGCCCCAACCAGGAGATGCGTGAAGCTTGGGAGCCTCAGGCTCAGAGTGTGAGTTTTTGAAAAAAGAAAAAAAAAAGTTCTTTTGCTCAATGTATTTACATTTTTTTTAAAATCAAATGAATTTAATTTTGTTATTTTAGATTAGCATTTGATAATTTCGATTGGAATGATTCCTAACTTTAGATTCTAATTTGGGCCATTGTAGGACGGGATGTGTTAGTTAAAATTCCCTCATTTCTCAAAGCAAAGAAGATTTCTGTAGACATATTTTGTGTTTGGGAAGGGATATGTGAATAACCCATAAAAATTTGACAATTATTTATTTATTTTGGTTAAAATATTATTTTAGTCTCAACACTTTCCACGATCATTTTTTATTTTTTACAAAATTTTAATACAAATTCTATAATATAAAGTTATATGTTTTACCCAAATTAAAATAAGTGACCAAAATTATCACGAGTAAGCAACTTCCTCAAAATAACTAAAAGTAAGGGAAGAAAAAGTCTCCTATATTTCTCTCATTTTCTGCCATCCTCTCCCTCCGGTCGCAAAGTATTATTCAATTTGATCGAAATGTATGCAAGCATCCAACGGCTGTCGTTGAGTTCCGTTTGATATTTGACGATCTGTAATCCAACGGTCGAGAACACAGATCAATGATAGCACAAAAAAAAAGGGAAAAAAAATCTAGATTTAATATCTAAGTATTAACTACCCATGAAGTTGCCCATTCACATTCACGGCTGACCCCGACAGCACAAGCATCCAAGTTGGCCCTAAAAAGGGGTTTCGTGGGTCGATTGGCGTCGTAAGAAATGGGGATTTATCATGTGTGGCGTGGCCTAACGCAAGTGCTTTCCATTTCTCTCGCCAAACTTCGTCTTGTTCTTTTCCCCCTCCTTTCCTTTGAAGTTGCTTTGATTGCAGTTTTCGGCCACTCCTTTCGCTTTCCTTCACATTCGGTAATTTCCAAAACTCTTTCCTTCGCCTTTCGATCCTCTTTTATCGTCTCTTCCCACCTCGATCCATTGATTGCCATTCTAGTGTAATATGTTCTCCTTCGTTACGTCAGGTATTTAAGCCCCATTTAACGAATATTAGGCTAAATTATTAAAAGTTAATATTCATCAACTTTGTTATGGGATTAAAAAATATTGGTATTTTTTCAGAAGTTTTAATATTATATTCTTTACATTTCATTTAAAAAATATTTTTTGAACAAACATGGAAGATGACAATTAACATAGAAGTTTACCTATATTAAATCTCAAGGAATATGGAAAAAACTATCGGTTATTGACAAAATTTTTATTTAATTCTCCTGGCATAGATCTACTTGCTGTTAACGCTTAACCTCGGGATTTGAAATCACTACTTATATACCTGGTATTGGCTAAACATGTTAGCGTAACATAACCTTCTTCAAAAAGGTCTAGGGGATAAGCTACATAAGCAATAAATTGATTTTCTTCTCCAGCATTACACAATCTCTAAGATCATTAAAAAAAGAGAGAGAATAGGTTCTCCATTTTAACCTATTTTGACACCAAGAAATGCAGTGAAGTTTTTTCTAGAAATAGGGAAAAATCTTCAGATATTAAGAGTTGAGTCGTTCATTACTAAAAATTGGATTTCATACCCACAATTATATATTGTAATTGTGGGGATACCTGCCGTAGCATTCAAGTAATGTCCCTTGATTTCACCTGTTTCAGGCAGATAACAGATAAAACAAATTCTCTGGTTAATGAAGGAAGATGACGTTTAGCAAAAAATTAGAACATTAATTATGGCATCGTTTCAAATTCTGTAATGTCAATTTTTCGTTTAAAATAATAACAAAAATTCTCTCCAAGAATATTTTAAGAAGTTAATAAAATATATTTAAATTTTTGAAATGATAAAAGTACTATTAAAACAAGCGAGAAAGTTAAAAGTTCATAGAATTTTTTTGTAATTTAGTTTAAATATTATAGATTAAATGAGTCTCTTATTCTATAATTTCAATATAATTTGTTTTAAATTAAATAAGAAAGAGCCACTCAGTATTCAATTGGTTTAATTAAGTACCTATTTATTTCTAACAAAAAAAAGTATAATAGGGGTTTCTAAAATTGGGGCCCAATTTCTAACCATTTGACTCCGAGTGTACATTCCATTTTATCTATAATATGTAGTAAAAATCTCTTTTAAGCTTAATTTGAGTTTGGTTGATGTGCTTTTAAAGGTTTCATTGGATTTCTATCGATTTTTCTTAAAACACAAATTGTCCCTAAATCTTACCCTCTCACCCTCTCCAACCTACCATATTATTTCGCTCCTTTATTTTTTTCCTCTCAACCTTAAATAAAGAATACCGACTAATTGACATTAAAAAGATGTCATTATCATATATATTAAATATTGTAACAACTTGTAATAATCGAAACTCGGTGAGACTTAAACAAATTATATCCAACAATTTAAAATTTGGAGGTATGAATTGGCCTAGTGGCATTTGACACCTGGAGAAAGTAAAATGTTGGAGGAATGAGTGACCATTTTTTTAAATCTTTTTTTCTTCATTATTGAGTAAGTCTATAGGATATTAAATTTGTTACAACAATAACGTGGTGTGGTTATTATTATTTTTTGACAATCTAATTTTACGAATATTAAAAAAATTGAAAGTTGGAAACTAAGCCTAAATTGGTAATTTAGCTAATAATTTATTTACGACAATTTAATTTTTAAACTTTTAATGTCACCTTTCAGCTTTCTGTATGATCCCAATTCACTGCACGGGAAGGATTTGTCTGCTCCTGCCGTGGCTGCAAAACTTTTTCTTAAAAGATTTAATAAAAAAGCAATTTTATATTGTTAAAAGAAAACCAAAGTAAGTAAAATGACAAAAATCTCATGGCTGTGAGGTCGAAATTACGGCCAATTCGGAAATAATTTATAAAGCCAGGGGCATTTAGTTACATGTGCAATTAAATATCAACTAAAAGGAAAATATCAACTGCCCGGCGGGCAAGTCACGGACCCTCCGCCCTCCTCCTCCCAGCCCGATGCATCGGAATCCCACTCTCACTTCGCATGTGAAAAGATCCAATTACGTCGCTTCTTCACTTACGTGGCCCTTTCAAACCACGTATTTATTTTAAGTGATAAAACGCCGCGCAATTACGTTACTTTTCCGACTTTCAACGATCCAGTTCTGAAGCCTGCGCGGGATTGGACTGGAGCTCACTTCGAAGCTTACTACTTCTCCAGAATCCAATTGAACAGTATCCATATTTTCTTAGCTCAATCCCGAGGTTTAGCTTCTGCAATTTAATCTAATTCTGTGTATCTGATCATATCTATGTCCTCTCTCGTTTTCCAGCATCACTGATTTCGGGATTTTGCTTTTCTTTACTTGTTCTAATGCTGCAGTATAGTTTCGACTAGAAATGCTAGATTTCTGCTCGATTTATTTTTAGTTTGTTGCTTATTTTCTTGTCCGGAAGATACTGTTTGTGTTGAACTGAATGGTCTATGAGCTCGATGAATCCAATGTGTTTCTTGTTGAATCTAAATTAAGATCACGAGCATGACCCTTCTCTTCTCTTTTCGTCAATTGTATTTTCAAGAACTGAAGCATTGGAGTTCGTTTATTGATGAATTCCCGATCATTGATGCAGAGAGCTCGGATACGTAAATGAAGTCCTATTTTATTCAACTGACCTATAGCATTGGAGTTCTGTTTTGAATCTTTACTTCTTTATTCTGTATTGAATTTTCGTGGTTGTATTGTTCCTTACGGAAGTTATTGATTCTACGATTTCTTCAGAGGAAGTGCATCAACGAATATGAGTAATTCCATTAGTCAGAATATACTCCACCAGAGTTTGCTTCGTCCTACAGTTTTTGATAGCCAAAGTAAATTCAATTATTCTGGCACCCCAAAGAATACTTTGTTCCAAGCTGCAATAGCTAATCAAGTCCCAGCACAGCATTGGAAATCTCCTGTATCCACAAAGTTCTTGGGGAACGGTCTAAACCTTCAAAAACGAAGGATGGCCATCGGAACAGGTCGTCGCAGCTCTCCTGTCAATCCACACGCTGTATTAGCCACGGATACAGCTTCCGAGGTACATTTTCAGCTGCTAGGATCTGCTAATCATGTTATTGAGATTTGAAGATTATTTGCATTTCGGACTTCAAGTAAAAGTTTTAATATTATTTTTCTGGATGAGGAAGTTTTAAGGATTGTTTTTGTAAGGCTGTGAAGTTGATTAATAATTTGTTACTTTCTTCATAATAGACCTTCGTTTTCTTCTGCAAATCTAAATAGTCTCTATCCCTCTCTTGTAAATCATCTCTCCGTTTATCTATGCAAAATGTGAATTAGTTAACGAGTGTTCAATAATGACATGTCAAATCTTCAAATGGCCATGTCATAATTGAGCTCCCCAAAGAGAGTCCAAAAAGAAAAAG